TCTATAATCCCAGCACTTTGGGAGGCTGAGGCGGGCAGATCACTTGAGACCAGGAGTTCAAGACCAGCCTGGCCAACATGGCGAAACCCTGTCTCTACTGAAAATACAAAAATTAGCCTGGCACAGTGGCAGGTGTCTGTTATCCCAGCTACTTGCTACTCGGGAGGCTTGAACCCTGGAGGCGGAAGTTGCAGTGAGCCGAGATCACGCCACTGCACTTCAGTCTGGGCAACAGAACAAGACTCCACCTCAAAAACAGAATGTAGACCCCAGGATTTACTCTCAGTACAGAGTAATTTATATTTCAGGAAAAAAGGAGTAGGTAATAATATTTTTAAAATCAGTAGAATTTCAACTTTAATTCTACCTGTATTCTCATACTTACTGAATTGTTAGTCGTCTTTAACTGAGAAAAAGTTTTGCTGTCAAGCCAAATAAATGTTAGCCTTATTTGAGATAAGAAGATTGTTAAGTCTGCCCAATAAAGAGTTAAATATTTGTGGCAGATCTCTTCTTCCGAGATCCCTTTTGTGTAAAGATTTAAAGGTTCTCTGAGTTAGAGTAATAGCCTCTGATTTCCTCTCCATCTCTTTTACTGTTTCCCTTTCAAATCTTTGATGCAAGCAAAATAAAAGAAAATGACAGGCTTTCAAGCTTTTGTCTTACGACTTATACGCACAAGTTCTACATTTCAAAATTTTTAAATGATCTTATGTATCTCAGTGCCATGAAATTTCAAACCTGAGTCTCTGTCTTTCAGAATGTAAGGTCAGTCTTGCTTTTGCTCATCATTTTCCTTTATGTCATTTTTAACCACATTGATACCTGGTTACGGTGTGCTCTTTCAATCTCTTTACTCTAGCTCCTTCCAGTGGTAAATCACAGATGTGCTACAGACAGCAGAGATCTGGGATTCTTTTCATATTACAGGAGTGCAATGGTGAGTAAAGATTTTCCCTGTACTTTACCAGTTTCTCTTGCTTCCTATTTAAAATTGAAGGTGAGGTTCTAATGGAGCCTGGATCAGGAGCTCAAGTTTATTCAAAATCGTAAGGCACCTGGTTCACTTGGTGTAGCACTTCTCAGGCTGTACAAAGTGGAGCAGTTTCTGAGATGCATGGATAAAAATCTCCAAACCCTGGCAAAAATCCAGCAACGCAATTCCATAAAGTACATGATATACACATTTCCGCAAGCTGAAGCTTCCTTTGGGCTTTAGGGAAAATAGTGTGTCTAATAATGGCAGCAGGTGTTTTTACTAATGATCTTTTAATGGCATTTTTGATAGTTTTAATTAAACCCCAAATATTTTTGTTGGAAAAAATAAAGGACAAATGGTTTCTAAGGCAAAATAAATAGTGTTTTTAAGAATGCATTTAAAAAGAGAAATTAGAAAGAAAAGGGAACTGCATGTTGTCTCCGTAAGGAAACCAAGTAATGCCTTAATAAAGTCCAACTGGAAGTAAAATAATTGAAAAGTACAAAGTTAAACCATTATTATAAAAGTTGATAAAGGTTACAGTTGGAAAATAGTTTAATGGATTTATTTAAAAATGAATATCATATTCTGTCTCTAAACCAATAAGGAACACAGTATTTATATCACACCAAAATAGTTTAAATATATGTAAATATAGGAACACTGTTATGGTCTGCTATTAATTATGAAGAGGATCAAAATCTCAGTGAAATCTGATTACATCCCTAAGAGATAATAGTGAGTTCAAGGGAGCTTTGGATGAGCAATGAGCTTCAACCAGCACCTTTTTGCTTGGCAAGTTAAACTAATCCAGTTCAGAACTAGAGGCATGTTGGCTTAGAATTAGGGACAAAGGCAGGTAATTTATTATTTTCTATATTTTACTTGTGATGTCAAAAAGTCTCACCCAACAAGACCTATTTTGGAGTGACAAACAGTAAGATATTCAAAATCTCTCCAGTCCAACACAATGAAAGAAATAAATATCTCAAGACAAAGGACAGGTTCTTGCTTAATATCACCAGTTTCTGCAGAAAATGTGTCCTTCACTGTTTTCTGTGTGTGGTTTCAGTGCTTCCTGCAGAAGAACTGATGGTAGAAGCCCTGTTCATTCATCATTTGTGAAAGACTTTCCAGGAAAATTAAATTTGGACTAGGACATCATCATGGCCAAGCCTGTACAGTTCTAATAACCTGTAGCTTCTGCCTTTCTTTATGCTGTTTCAGAGCCAACCCTCAAAAGCATTATTGTCACAGGAGAAATACTTCTTAGCCACCAAAATGGGCAACACTTCCAAAATTGATTAAAGACTATAAATGAGGTCAAGTTAGAATATGTAGTTTCCCCATCACATATAGGGAAAAGTGCTAACTTTGCATGTGGAATCCAGAACCCTCCATATTGTGACCCCTATGCATTCTGTGTCCACCTCTCTCTCCCCGCAACCCAACCATCTCAACCAACATCAATCTCCATCCAAGCTCCAGCAATAGCCTACTGCCTTTAATTTCAGAAAAAAAAAAATTAAGAGATTTTGTACTGATGCACACGCTATAATAACTTGCTTGAAATTCATTTCCATGTAAGTTGTGTCTTGACAATAAGCCTGTGCACCCCTTTAAAGCCCTGTTTAGATGAGCTTCCTGACCTTCTTCTTCCAGCTTCTCAGCAAAGCTTTAACAATTGAAGGTAGACACGATAGGCTGAGGGCAGAAAGGAGGGGAGAGAACTCTTATCATCTTTGTATTCCTTATCTTTTTCTAATTATAGTTTGTGTTAAGATAAAGTTAGCAATTGAATTAAACAAACCCTCGTATATGTCATAGCTCATAGATATTAAAAGTGTATTTATTACTTATGTAAAAATTTTAAATAGTATTTTTAATCAAGAACAGATTCCTCCAGAAATGATTTTGGGACCAAGGTCCCCATGTCTGGCTGCTCTACCATTGTTGACATATGACTTTCAATGTACTCATCTACATCAAGCTAGAGAAAGGGGTAACAGAGATGGAGAAAATACATTCACTTTCTCATAGTAATGGCCTTATACATGCACTTCTACTCAGATTCTACTCACAAGAATTCGTCACGTGGTCTCACCTAAATGCCAGGGCACTGCGAAATACAATCCCCGATTGGGCAGCTGCTTCCTAATAGCAGTCCTACGCTATGAGAGGAAGAGCATGAATATGGATGGGTTGGTTGCAGTATCTGTCAGATAGTTCATATTTTAATTAGTTAATAAGGCAACATATGGCAGTTCCTTCCTCAAAAAGTTAAACAGAATTACCATATGACCCAGCAATTCTACTCCTAGGTGTACGCCCAAAAGAATAGTACACAATCTTCAGACAAAAACTTTTAAACAAATAGTCATGGCAACACTATTTGCAGTAGCAAAAAGGTAGAATCAACTCAAATATCTATAAAATGATAAATAGGTAAACAAGTGTAGTATATCCATACAATGGAATATTATTTAGTCATACGTGCTACAACATGGATGAACCTTGAAAACATTATGCTAAGTGAAAAAAGCCAGACACAAAAGGCCGCATTATATTATTTCATTTATACTAAATATCCAGGATGGAAAAACTGATAGAGATGGAGAGTAGATTTGTGACTGCTAGCAGCCAGCAAGAAGAGAGGATATGGAGGGACTGCTTAATGGGTGCAGGGTTTCCATTTGGGGAAATTGAAAAGTTCTGGAAATAAATAGTGGTGATGGTTGCACAACACTGTGAATGTACTTAATGCCATTGACTTGTATACTTTAAAATTGTTAAAGTGATCAATTTAATGTTATGTTTGTCTTACTACAATTTAAAAAGGCAGCATGGCTTTCTGGAGATATGTACTGAATCAAACCATTAGCCTATAATATTTTATTATATTTAATGACATAAATAGCATATGACCTCAAGCAAAAAGAGTAGTTAACACTATTCCTTCTTTATGTATTCTTTTCTTTGGGAATTTTATAATTTTTTCTTCCTTCAACCCAACAAATATTTTTTAACAACTTATTGTTTCCAGACACTGGTCTGTGTGTTTATCCTTATCATAAACTCAAAGTTCTAAGAGTCCTAAAGTATACTTAGAGAAGACATGGGTCCTGGATCAAGAGAGATAGCAATAGAACCTTGCCAATGGTCCAACATGCTAATAATACCATCTTGTAATGCACCAAAAATGCTGGGATACTTGGTCTATTTTGTCATTAAAGACAGTTGACCACTGGAGCTAGCAAACAACACATCAAGTATGTTGATGCTATTGTGAGGCTTTAAAGCAAGTGTAGAGTTATGATATCACACTCAGAGTTAGATGAAAACCCTTGCCAATCTAAACCTTAGTGAATATCTGAACAATTTCTATTCTGATATAAGATGCTGATGTTCAGGACTTTGAAGAAACCAGTGCATCATTCCATAATTCTCTATGCAGATGGATAAATGTGGCATCCTGAATGATACATAACAAAATAACTTGAAATCCATTTATACTTGGATTTGCATTTTGATTTTTTTCTTTGTTGTCATTGCACATTTGCTTTCATAATCATATTTTAGCTAACTGTAACAGTAAATGAGGTTTATCTTCTCAAATGACAGATGACGACGACAGGCAGTCTTAAATGATCTGACTGGCATATTGAGCCAGTTGAATTTAAATTTAACTGAGAAAAGTCATATAATCCTAGAACTGGAAGGAAGCTTAGGGAAAATTTAACTTTATCTCTTCATTTGTATGTAAGAGTGAACTAAAACTCAGAGATGTGTATTTATATTATTTTCAGAAGGAGCTTGTTTGGACGTGTTGTCTCAATGTAATTATTAATAATGCCTCTTTTCTTTTTCAAAGATCTCCTGATTTAGAAGGTAAATTAGATATTCACTTCTACATCTTTTTGGTATTGTGGATTCTTTAGATAATATTGTACAAACTCAGGCAACCCATCCATAAAAAGCATATATATATATATATATATAAAACATTTGGATCTAGTTTACCAGCAACCCCAAGCTACGAGCCTTTGATGTAGATTTTACATCTGATAAAAACATATTGATCAACTCCTGTGGACTGCAGAAGCAAAGCTGCCATTAACCACCACACCCCAACAAGGTAGGTAGGTCTTAGTGAACACATCACATCAGAAACTTCAGAAACTAAGCTAAGAGTCACCATGACATGATATGATTGGGTTGGGACTTGACATCAGGCCTCCTAATCCAGTGACCTTTTTAATATAAGAAGTGCTGAGTATAGGGTTACAGATATAAGATCTTAGTTTATGTCCTGACTGACACTTACTACGTTACTTCAGACAGTTGCTTAACTCTTTTCCGTTATTTTTCTAATTTGTGAAATGAAGACGATAGTAGAAGTACCTACCTCATTCTGAGTTGTAAGGATTACACAAAATAATATACCAGCAGTGCTTGCAAGACTACCTGAAATACAAAAATCTCTCAATAAATGTTCCATATTATTGTTAAGCAATTGCTTCTGTGCAATTACACATGACTAAGTGAACACATAAGAATATTAATCCCTAAGTTAATAAATATCAGTAAGATTAATATTAAACTACTACTTCAGGTTATTAATACTTATTATACAATACGAAAAAACAAGAGTTCAGAAACAGTGGAGAATTTAACAAATATAAAACTGCCTTCATAGTACACGTGTCCTCAAAATATTTGATCCTGTAAAAACGGTGATACGTATCAGAGACAGTGGAGAGTGGACTACAGAATGTGAAACTATGAGTATGTATCCACTTAGCTTCAGAACACTTCATGAGTTTTAGAGAAACGCTAAGCAAGGTGTTTACAACCTACACACCATCATCATGCTACTTTTCTTACAGAAAGCATCAGTAACTTCAATGAAGTATCAACATTCAAATTTTGATAACGTAATTCTATCCCTTCTTCCTAAAATCATTCCTCATTGTGTAGGGCATATTGTAGCTATGTCTTATTCTATAGATTGATTAATTGATTAATTTCAAGGTACAACCCTGGAGGTGGGTGTCAGTGACTTGAAGTATTTCATTGGTAGGAGGTTATTACTCTATAAATAATGAGCTGACACAGCCACCTGAAACGAGGCAGAATAGAAGGAAGACAGATAATGTTCTAGCTAAATTATGCCCTATATATTCATACAAACTCTTCATTTTCTTCAAATACCAGAATGTGACTTTGAATTTTTTTCTTAGTTAGAAATCTTTCTTGCAATAACAGAAACTAAACTTTAAATTGCTTGAGCTAAAAGGGGCTTTCTTGATGTGCCACAATGACTTTGAGGGAACTAGAGGTCTCTTTATGTTATTTCTACCTCTGTTCTGCATTGGCCTCGCTATTCCTTGAAATTTTTTCTCCTCAATTTATTTAGCAGAATGATAGCAAAAAGTCGCCTCGTTCACATTTCATATTGTAATATTATTTCTTCAAAATGATTCCTAGTAAATAAAAGTTCTACTAATACATTATCACACATAGTAAACAGATAAACAGAGATAAAGGTAAAGACAGTTGGTAGAAGAACAGGATTAGATAATATTTAAAAATTAGTGTCTACAACAGATTTCTTTAAAATACTTTATTTTATGCATAATAGTTGACTGGATGTCTAAGAATGAATTGCAATGTTCACTTCCTTGAAATCTTTTGCACCTGATGGTTTACCTGACGGAAAATACACTTTTTTTAGTTGAACTCCATGTTTCATTTATAGTAAATCATCATCTTAGTAAAAAATACTATCATTTGAATTTGTAAATAGTTGTCAAAAGTTAGAAATCCAAGTGATCAAAGACAAATTAAAGTGCCAGTTCAAGTGAACCAAAAGTTTGCACCATTTTGTAAAAGGAGGTCGTAAAAAGGGTTAGTTTAAAAGGAGATGATACAGCAAGAAACGGCCAGGTGTGGTGGCTCACCTCTGTAATCCCAGCACTTTGGGAGGTTGAGGTGGGTGGATCACTTGGGGTCAGAAGTTTGAAACCAACCTGGCCAGCATGGTGAAACTCCGACTACAAAAAATGCAAAAATTAGACAGGTGTGGTGTTGGACGCCTATAATCCCAGCTACTCAGGATGCTGAGGCAGGAGAATTGCCTGAACATGGGAGACAGACGTTGCAGTAAGCAGAGATCATGAGCAGAGATCGTGCTGCTGCATTCCAGCCTGGGCAACAAAGAGAGACTCTGTCTCAAAAAAAAAGGCAAGATATTTGTGAGATCCTTAGAATTCTGCAAAATTACTATTCATTGTAACCATTTGTTCCCCAAATCCTTAAAGAAATCAATGAAAATTGAAATAGTAAGATGTATTCCAGCATATGGTATTCCAATAAAGGTAAGGTTTCCTAGAATCCATATTAAATAGACTACTATATAACACCAATTCTGCACTTTTTAAATAAGCATAATTCCTGCCACCAAACAGTTTCCATGTCCTCATGAGGAGGCAGAATAAGCTAACAACTCCTATTCCCACTAAAACGAGTTCTTGCTAGGACAGAGAAAGGAACAAAGTGCTAGAGAAGGACATGAAGGAGTTATCATTTCAGTCTTTGCATGTTGAACATACTTCACAGAAAAGGTCATGATGTGCAAGCGAGTTGCTTGGAATAGAAAGTTCCTAGGAAAACAAGACTGTAGGATTCAGTCATGTAGAGGAATACCAAGAAAGTCTGAAAGGACTTGACCTACTTGGTCTATTCAGTTGGGGTTGGCAGAGTTCACTGTATAAATAGAATAGTAGCCAGAGATAAATCTAAAAAGGAAATCGTTTTTCATTTATTCATTTTTCATCATTCATTTAACAAATATTTATATAGTTGCCTTCTCTTCCAGGCATTGAGTTTGACTTTAAAGGTACAACGATGAAGAAGGCTCAGCTCACAATATGATGGGAGAACAAGAGGCACAAATAAATAGCCATTGTCCAATTGTGCAATGCCTTTGTGTTTTCAGTACAGGAAGTTATCAAAAGCTCTACAGTGGGCTGGGCATGGTGGCTCATGCCTGTAATCCAAGCAGTTTAGGAGACTGAAGTGGAGGGGGGTGGGTCACTTGAGGTCAAGAGTTCAAGACCAGCCTGGCCAACATGGTGAAACCTCATTTCTACTAAAAATACAGAAATTAGCCAAGCGTATTGGCGCGCACCTGTAATCCCAGATACTTGGGAGGCTGAGGCAGAAAAATCACTTGAACCCAAGAGGCAGAAGTTGCAATGAGCCAAGATTATGCCACTGCACTCCAGCCTGGACGACAGAGAGAGACTCAGTCTCAAAAAAATAAATAAAATGAAATAAAATAAAACAAAACTCGACCAGGCGCAGTGGCTCATGCCTGTAACCCCAGCACTTTGGGAGGCCGAGGTGGGCAGATCACAAGGTCAGGAAATCGAGCCATGCTGGCTAACATGGTAAAACTCCCTCTCTACTAACAATACAAAAAATTAGCCAGGCACGGTGGCATGCGCCTGTGGTCCCAGCTACTTGGGAGGCTGAGACTGGACAATCCCTTGAACCCGCGAGGTGGAGGTTGCAGTGAGCCAAGGTCACACCACTGCACTCCAGCCTGGGTGACAGAGCGAGACTCCATCTCAAAAACAAAACAAAACAAAACAAAAACAAAAAACAAAAGCTCTAAAGTGCAGAGGACAGGACAACAAGGCCAATCTCAGGTCAGGTTCACTTCAAGGGAATGTTTGTCTGGGCTTTAATGGGGGATTTGGGTTTCACTGGTCAAATGGAACCAGGAAGGTGAGGATGAAGAGTAGTCTAGGAATCCTCTACATGTCCTCAAACATTAAAATGTAAAGAATTCCTGGAAACTAAAATATTACCAACTCTGTTTTGGAGGTAGTAAAAGGAAACATGTAAACGTAGAATAAATAAGATGGAGCAGGAATACGTAATGTGGCAAAATTGGAGCAGGAATATACAACTATGAAGTCTACCTAATGTTAATGTATTTCTTAATACCAAACAATAGTAGCAAAGACCAGTGATGTTAAGCATACTAACTAGTCCTTCTGTACCTTCATGCTATACATGATGGAAGTACTCCCCTGATTCATTTAGGGGGCATCCGCATGCTCACTGCTGGCTTGCCAAGAGCTTCTAAAATGTTTTTCCTTTCTCCACATTATATACTCACCAGCATATGCACATCAACAGTGGAATAAAGTATAGATTAAGAAAAATTATTCCAAAGCTTTTAGTAGGACATTATTAGACATGGTAGGCATTAAAAAGACATCTTTTAAATTTCAAGGACGGATTATTGTTGATATTAAAATGTTTCAGTTTGGTGAGGTTTTTCAGGACATGGAGAAAAACTGAGTGCTGGTCAAGAAGATTCAAGTTCAATTACTAACCCAATGCTTGATTCATTATTCCTTAGGCAGGAAAATAAATAAAAAGAGTAGCATGCATCATCTCTTTCCTCGATTATGAAAAAGCAGTGTATTTCTATTTGTCTTGACAGGTGACTCACAGGATGGGGAAAATAACCTCAAAATGCTATTAGGAAATGCTCAAAGAATTAAGATTTGCTGAATTTATCAACAGGAGTCTTCTAATTTCATCTTTAGGGTTTATAAAACACTTCCTATGTGTTCTACTCAGAACTTTGAGGGTGACCTACTAAGTCCACGTAATGTTTGTGTTAGCTGGTTGACCTTTATGAAGAAGCTAGTAATTAGATATCCTTGGACCCAAGAGGACTAACTGAAGGAGATGTTACAGCACTCAACAGTAAATGTGATTATAGAATGAACATCCTTAGCTCATGATCTGGAAATATAGAAGGCGTCAAAGCAATGCAAGTCCTCATGTTCCTCTCAAAAGCAGAAATACAGTTCACGTCGACTTAGACTTGTCGAGGATTCTCGTGAGGAAGTTCCTGAAGTACTCATTCTTAGAAAGCTTGATGAAGAAACTAAATAAAAGCATGGTGAGAGATGGCACAGGTGTGTCCCTTAGTACACATATTTCTCTTGCTGCTTTCTAACCCCTGGCACCTGGATCTTTGGAGCTGTCTCATCCTCTGTAAAATTCATTCAGCATATTAGGAATGCTTGTGTCACGTAGAGTCCTTACTTTACTTAGAAGTTGATCAGAGTGATTGGAGTAGCCTTAATAGTGGCATTCACTTTCTAATACAGTAAGTAAAGAAAATGTCAAAGAAACAGCTGATTTTTTAAAAACTCATTGAATAGTGCCTGGTACACAGTATGTACTCAGTAAACATTTCTATTATTATTAGTGTTTATTGTTATCATTGATGTTTTTATTACTTAACAATCAGAGAATTAAAGGCATAATTTAGAAACTTAGGCAATAGAATAGTATACATACTATTTCTCTAAATTATATAGTGAAGACTATTTTATAACAATAGACTATTATTACAGGGTTTCCAGCAGGACTTCCAACAGTCACACTGTGCTACAAGTTTATGTCTTCGACCAGGAGTTGACAAACTTGCCCTGTAAAGTGCCAGAGAGTAAATATTGTGGTTGCCAATGGACAATGCCTTCAACTCTTCGAGCAACTATTCCTGCTGAAACACCAACAGTCTCTTTTAGAGTTTATGTTTTACATTTAAAAATGTAAATAATGGCTGGGCGAGGTGGCTCATGCCTGTAATCTCACAACTTTGAGATGCTGAGGCAGGCAGATCACCTGAGGTCAGGAGTTCAACAGCCTGACCAACTTGGCGAAACCCCGTCTCTACTAAAAATACAAAATTAGCTGGGTGTGGCAATGCATGCCTGTAATCCTAGCTACTCTGGATGCTGAGGCAGAAGAATTGCTTGAACCTGGGGGGTGGAGGTTGCAGTGAGCCAAGATCACATCATTGCACTCCAGCCTGGGCAACAAGAGCGAAGTTCTGTCTCCAAAAAAAAAAAAAAAAGTAAACAGCAGTCATAACTTATGGGCCATATGAAAACAGGTAGTGGGCTGGATTTGACACATGGGCAGTGACTTGCCAACCCTGTGCTAGAGAATTATTTTTTTATCTTAGGGAGGGCACACTGCTGCTACATAATCACACAGACATCTACATGTGTGTGTTTCAAATCTTGGCTATAAATAATTCTACACTTTACATTAATAAAAAATATGATTTCCATCATTTTTATTTCATACATACCTACAAACACTCTTGAAAGTGAGACAGCACTAATGCATGGAAAACAATTCAGTTTGAGGGCTGCCAGCTCAAATAAAACAAAAATAGACTTTCTTTACTTATTGTTTCTTTCACTCTCACAATAGAAGTTTCATTTTGAGAAAACCATACATTTATTAGTAGTCAAATAGTTAGATACCTGAAAGATCTTAAGCTGATTCCTTCAGGAGGAGTCCTTCAGCCTTGTGTGCCTCTTCACAGCCCCCACAGCCTTAAGGAGTTCTACAAAATTTGAGTTGAGGAAATATTTCATGGGGAAAGACTAGGACCAGGGTTCCAGAGCAAAGCTTTTTAGAACTTCATGTAGCATATTCTGCATGGTTAACCATATCCTGCATGGTTATTTCCTATGCCTGAAGGAATCAAGATTTGCTAGACTGAGTTTCCTTTTCTTTTGTCTACTTAGGTTCATTGTTATTCAACAAGTATTATATTCATCACCCTCTAGCATAAAGCCTGAACACAACAAAGTGTAAATAAGCATTTTTTGGTTTCTTCCCTCATGGAAGTCACATTTTAGTGGTGGGAGAGAGGGCACGTGGCAGGCAAGTAACAAGAGAACAAATAATTCAAACAACATCAGGATAATTTTTGATCTACAGGAAACAAGGAAGGTGCAGTTTGGAATGATTGCAGGGGGTGGACCTCCTTTGGACAGGCTGGTTGGTGAAGCCTTCTTCAGGAAGTTTGCATTTGAATGGGGCCGTGAGGATTGAGAAGGAGCCAGGCAGGAAAACAACACATGGAACATCTTCCAAAATGAGAACTAGCAAGATAGATTCCTAGGCAGAATTGTCTATGCTTAAGAAATTGTCAGAAAGCCATGGGGTTAAAGCAGAACGGCAAGAGAGAGAGCGTCATATGATAGAGCCTGTAGAACATGGAAAGTAGCTCAAATACAACTCTGAGAAGTTTGAATACTATTCTAAAGCAGTGGGAAATCATGAACAAGATTTTATCCACCTTTGAGAGGTATAGATGTGAAACATAATGAATTGAGCAAAGGGATGAAGAGTTCACTTAAACCTAGTGGTTTACTTTTTTAGACATTAGTCTTTCTGGTAACTCTAATAGATGAAATAGTACTTACAATACCCCTTGGTTTCACTGTGGACTCTGTATGTGTGGGAACACTCACGATTGACAATTTTGAAATCTCTGCTCACATGCCTCATGAGGCTATGTCATAATTTTAGTAATCACCATGGTGATTTAGCCACCCCTACCAAAGTGAAAAAGACATTGTCATTCCCCCATAAGTTATATTGCTCTCAACACTGACAGTGTTAAGCAGGGGAAAACAATCCCCAGTTTAGAATCATCACGTAGATCATAGCCCCTTTGGGAAGCTATGATGTTGGTTGTTGTCACACCTCCAGACATCAACACTAACTCCTTTGAACAGCCTTTATCACTGCAAATTATCACTACCACAAACTGCTAGCATATAAAGGTCAAGGACGCACAAAGAAACTAGTCAACCACTACTTCAGGTATCCCCACTCTAAGAGCACTCATTCACTCATTCATTCATTCATTCATTCATTCAACAACTGCATTTGGGTACTGTTTTAGGTGCTGAAATGTGAGACTGAACAAAACAAAAACTCCTACCCTCCCGGAGCATACATACTAGTTTGGTAGGAATTGTATCTCCACATAAATATAATGTGCTAGATTCAATAACAATCTCCTGAAAAGTACTGGTCTTTTCTTTTCCTTTTTCTCAAAAACAACATTATTTTCCAG